GGGGATCCAACTCAGGAACTTGTGCTTGCCAGGCAGGCACTTATGCCACTGAGCTATATCCCCAGCCCCTCAGGCTGCTCTTGAACTCACTTTGTAGCACAGGCTGGCCTTGAACTTGCAATGATCCTCCTGCCTCCCAAACTGGGATTACAGGGATGCACCACCACGCCCTCGATTGCGTAGGTTGGGCTTGAATTTGGAATCATCCTGCTTTCATCTCCAAGAGTATTGGGATTACAGGTGTGTGCCACCACGCTCAGCAGTCTGCGTTTTATATTACTGTCGCCTGTTTCTATTTCTGACTAGTAGTTTTTTCTTTCTATCCTTTCTTTATTCTCCCTTTCTGCTTTAAAGAAAAAATCTTTGTCATTTCTCCTATTATCTATCTATCATATCATCATCATCTCTCTCTCTCTCTCTCTCTCTCTCTCTCTCTCTCTCTCTCTCATCTATCCATCTATCTCTCTCTCTATCATCTATCACCTATCTTGGTACCTACTCATATAGGGAAGATGCCTGGAAAAATACTCCCTTAAGTCTGAGCCAATATTCTTTCTTATGATTATAAAGAAGAGTCCTTATTTTGAGAAGCATCCTTGCGAAGCTCTGTTTTGTGTCTAGGACTGGCTTCTCAATAAAGCAACTGTTCTCAAATTTGGGCATGCGTCAGAATTATTTGGGCATCCAGCAAATTACAGAGCATTATGTCCCATCCCCAGAATTTATGATTCAGTAAGATGGAGCAGGGCTCCCAGATTTCCATCTCTAACGAGTTTCCGGGCGCTGCTCTTTTGAGAAACACCGTATGGGAACCCTAGAGGTCAGACACCGCCTCTGTGGAGAGCGGAGAAGACTCAGTGCGATGGCACTCGGACCTGGAGCCTCCGGAATGTGAGAAATGCAGTGCCCGGGGGCCAAAGCAAATGTTCAGATTTGCGGCTCTCCTGAAGATCACTTGCGTTCCTTTGTTTCCCCTGACTCCCTTTGCTAGGACCCAAGAAAGGCAGCTTTGAGTAATTAACACTCCATTGATTAAGCTGTCTAAAGTTATTTTTTGATAGACTAGCAAACTTTCTTTAATCTACACAATTGGAAATGAGTTATTAGAGGCAATAATGATCATTTACTGAGCACCTCATATGTCCCAACTCCTTTATATGCCTCTGTCACTGTATCTCTCAGAATTCTACAGCATACCCATTTCCATTTTACTACATTTCTTTTTTTTTCGGTACCAGGAATCGAACTCAAGACCTTGAGCTTGCCAGGCAGGTGCTGTGCTGCTGAGCTAAACCCCCAGCCCCTCTACTACACTTCTTTAAGGACTCCCCAGAACACAGTTCTATTTTACTTTAGCACGCATCCTCTCATTCATTTAAGCAGTAGATCTTCCAAACAATTAACATTACATAGTAAATAGAAATTTTAAAAGGTCTAGACCATTACAGAATATGTATAGTCTCCGTTCTCTACGGGACAAAATACACAGTATTTTTTTGGTGTTTTTTTTGCAGTACCAGGAATGGAACCCAGGACCTGGTGCATGCTGCACAAGCACTCTACACTGAGCTGTATTTCCAACCCTTAATGTTCATTTCTGAGAAGTTTCCAGGGACAGATTCCATAACCTACAGAAACCAGTTCTGTTGTTTATCATTATCATCAATAATTGTGCTTATTTGTTATTTTTAATCCATTGGATGATTGCTACATTACCTTACTCCATAATAAATTTTCCCTTTGCACTTAGATAAAATAATTTTTACTTTAAATCTAGCTCTCTGTGGGCTTCATCATTCATCAGAATATCCTCACTGTCTGTTAACTGATAATCTCCTGGCATTCTCAATTTTTTTTATTGCAATAAAAATTATGAGTAAGCTTTGCACTGCCCCCTCCCAGTTCTTCCCTACGTTCAGTTTACTGGGTAACATTGCTCTTGGAAAGATTGTTTAGAGGTCCCACATGGTGTAGAACCATCTTTATACTTTATTGAGTGGGAGTCAAACCTGTATTAGATTTTTAAAAGTTTATTCTAGATTCTGATTCCACTTTCTGCCTTCTTTTCCTTTCCCTTTCTTCTTTCTTCCCTCATCCTTATCTATCTGACAATCACCATCCTACTGGTATTGTGACCTTTTAAACATCAGGTCTCCATGGTTGGCATTATTCTCATTTTACAAATGAGAAATCTGAGTCCTGAAGAAGTTAAGTAACTTGCCAAAGATCAAAGCTAGAAAGTTAGAGGAGCCAGATTTTTTTATTTTTCTGTCTTTTTGAGACAGGGTCTCGCTATGCAGTTCAGGCTGGCTTTGAGCTCACTTTGTAACCCAGCTGGTCTTGGTCTTACAATGATCCTCCTGCCTCAGCCTCCTGAGTGCTGGGATTACAGGTGGGCGCCACCACGCCCGGCTGAGGCACCAAATTTGGACCCAAGGGTCTAACTGCAAAGCTCCTTCTCTAGCTGCTATATTAAACTGCCTCCCAATTAACGAATCCTATGTCAATTTGCTTTTAAAATTCTAAATGTAATCAATTGATAATAAAAATTTAGTAGAAACATCTACCAGTAACTACAACTAATAACAATACCTTTAATCAACTATGCTCAACCTGTGGTGCCCACCCATCCTGTTGTTATTTATTATTTATATATAAAATTTATTTATTATTTTATACATAAAATAATATATATGCATATATATTTTTTTTTCAGTCTTTTTGAGACAGGGTCTTGCTGTGCCATTCAGGCTGGTCTTGAGCTCACTTTGTAGCACAGGCTGGTCTCAAACTCTCAACAATCCTCCTGCCTCAGCCTCCTGAGCGCTGGGATTACCGGCATGCACCAGCATACCTGGCTATAAAATACTGTTGTACTTACATTTTGAAATTTACTCTTTTAGCTCATAAATCCTTATAAGTCAGATGCCCCCTTTCATTGAAATTCTGCCTGTTGCTTTTTCTGAAGATCTGCTTTTTCACTTAGTTACTATACTATGTTTTAGCCTTTCCTGTATCAGTAGTAATTTGAATTACTTAAGATTTTAACTAAGACACACTGTTTTTCATACTTTCAATTATTCTGTGATACATACTCTCCTAAGTCAAGGAATTTACCCACTGGTAGGCAGAATTGCCAGTCACTCTGCAGAAAGCTCCTCACAATTTACAGCAGCAGACATTGCAGACATTGCAGACACCCAGTGAAAAGCCGCCTGGTAATTGCTTATCTTGTATTTCTTTACTATTAGTGAGGCCGATCCCTCTTCAAGAATCTGTCTTCAGGAATAAATTTTCTATTCGTGTTCTTAAATCATTTGTTAACTGGATCTTTCAAAAATTCCCACCAGCTACTTATATACAATTTATGATTCCTCCAGTGCCGGTCTGTTTTATGCACATTATATATGTATGTAAAATTATTTTATTTGGCAGATATTTGTAACTTTTATGCAGCTTGGAATTATCCCCCTGGAACTGTATACTTCCATAGTTCTTTATTCAAATGTCCCTTCCTCGAGAGCCTGAGCTTGACCACTGTGGAAAAATCCCCCACCTTCCTTAAATCACCTGGTGTCCCCCCGCTATCCCAGCACAGTACGGCTGGCAAAATATATTGTATTTGTTTATGCTCTACCTCCTCCACTAGAATAAAACACTTCCAGAGACAGGGACTTGATTGTTTTCACTGCCACATCCCCAGTGCCTAGCCCACAGGAGGTGCTCAGTAAGCACTGAAGGAATGAATCAGACTTCGCCATTGAAAATTACTCTTGTTTCTTCTGTGGACAAGAAAAAAGCTTTTCTCCCAATGATACCATTCTGTTTTCTTCAAGTTTCTTTTAGTTTAAGATAATTTACCCTTTTCTCTTTTTTTGTGATATAACTTAAAGCATTGAGTTGTATTTTCTTTTTGTTTTTTCTGTGCTTCTTCTTCTTTTTTTTTTTTTTTGAGACTAGGTCTTCCTATATAGGCTGGTCTTGAATGCAAACTCATGGCAATCCTCCTGCCTCAGCCTCCCAAATGCTGCGATTACAGGTGTGTACCATCATGCCCAGCTCCAAGAGTGATATTTTAAAATTGTTATTTTTTCTTTATATTCCTTTGTCCTATTATAATTGCTAGAACCTCTTAAATTATATTACATAGAAATATTAATGGAAATATTTTTAATTTATCCCATTTTAAATACCACACTTCTAGAATTTGTTTTCATTTCCTTTCTAGTCTCTTTTCTTTCCCTTTTCTCCTTCCCCTTTCCCTTTTCTTTTGTGCTGGGGAAATCTAACCCAGGGCTCACATAAGTGATCTACCATTGAGTTATACCCCCAGCCCTAAAATTTCCTCATTAAAAATAATATTGGCTCTAATTTAAAGTAAATATTCTTTATTATGACAAGGGTCTTTTCTGGCCAGTCATGGTGGAGCATGCCTGTCATCCCAGTGTTCTGGGAGGCTGAGGCAGGAAGATCACAAGTTCCAGCCCAGCCCCAGCAACTTAGTGGCTTAAGACTCTGTCTCAAAATTAGAAATTAAACAAGGGGTGGAGATGTAGCTCAGTGTGAAGACCCTGAGTTCAGTATCCCCAGTACCAGATGGGAGGAGAGAGAGAGAGAGAGAGAGAGAGAGAGAGAAAGAAAGAAAGAAAGAAAGAAAGAAAGAAAGAATTGTCAAATGTGTCTAAAGTATCATGAGTTTTTTGCTCTTTCATATTTATATGATTAAGCTTTATTTTATGCTAAACTTGCTATATTTCATCTGCTGAGAATCTAATAATTTAGCATTTATTATTGCAAGTAGGATTAACCTAGAATTTTCTTTCTTATAGCATCTTTGGCTGCAGAAGCCAGATCAATTCCTTGCTTCAGGAAATTGAAAAGACAAAAGATTTTTCTGATATTTATATTTAAAAGAAAACATTACATCAAATGGAGCCAACTCTAGAATATCTAAAAACTGTCTAATACATGTCAAAACTATGTCTTTTCCTTTAATGGGAGTTCTTTGATAATTGTTTCCTATTCCTTCAAATCCTCAATTTTTTTTATTGTGCCAGTTTTTGCCAATTTGCCCCTTTGTTGGTTGTTTACTAAATTTCGGGTTCCCAAGCCTGGAAAGCAGAGCTGTAGAGACTCTCGCAGTAACATTTTATTATTATTCCTATAGGTTGATGTAACACCTTTGTAAGCTTTCAGTTTTACTTTTGTTTTTAAATAGCCAGCTCGGTGGTTTTCCAGTTTTGTTCTTCCCTTTGAAGAACCAACCAAGCTCTTTTTTGCACATAAAATTCTTTAAAAGTTTTTGAGTTAATTCTTTTTAGATTAAGTTTTCATTTTTCTTCTTTTCCCCTGTCCTACTACTTTTTATATTTCTTTAAAAACTAGACATAATTAACTGCATTCCTTATTTTCATTCTTATATAAGCTTTTTTTTGGTTGTTTGCTTAAAGACAAGGTCTTATATTTCCCAGGCTGGTTTTGGACTCCTGCATTTAACCAATCCTCCTACTTTAGCCTCCTGAATAGCTGGGATTACAAGGTACACCACTGCATCCATCCCATTATATTATATTATTATTATTATATTATTTAGCTCTTTTTTCTTTTGGGGGAGGTAGTGGGAATCGAACTCAGGGCCTCACACTTGCCAGGCAGGCGCTGCGCCGCGGAGCTACGTCCTTTTTTTTTTTGTTGCCAGCCAGGAACCATCAGCTTACCTTTATAATATCACAGTGCTCACTCACGTTCAGCATGCAATCAAGTTTTCAATAAAGGTATTGCTATTATGAAAAAAGTTTTTACAAAGTACTATAAATTGAAAGTATGAGAAGGATAAAGACATAGAGGGGGCATATAGAGAAAAAACTATAGGGAAGTATAGAGAGAAAAAAAGCACACACAATCGCTCTAGCACTCAGTGTTAGAACTCAGGAATGTGAACGCTGTGATTCGGGTATAGTTTCTAAAGTTCTCAGTTGGCATCAGGCCAACAGCCAGAAACACCAGCTGGTGTAAGAAGCTGGTGTGTGAATGAAATTCAGCCAAGCTTGAACCAAAGGTAGATAGTTACGAGTTGACAATATGATTGCTCCTTTCACACTGTATCTGAGTTACAAGGACCCGAAAACACACATCCATTTGCTCTACTTTACGTTTAGAACCCTCATAGCATTTTCCTACCTCACACACCTGGATCCCATAGTTTTGAGAGCTGTGTTTTTCAAATCGGTCTTCTTTTTTTCAGCGGTCACGTCGCTCATCTCTTTGGATACGTTTGTCTCACTCTTTATGGGCGTCAAAGTCGTCTGAAAACACCTTTCCCCTTCGAAAGTCAGTGTTATGTTTGAGATGGTGACGTGCTTTGAGGACACTCTGAACTGAGTTTTACTTCTTGAATCTCGGAGACATCCCGTCTTCAGCACGTTTTCTTCTTTTCGCTTTGAAGACAACAAACAGAGCAAGTCGGTAGTAGAAAAGCACCGTAAGAAGTAGGTGTTTTCTGGAGCAGAACACAGCACGGTAATCATTGCGGTCGTGTTTACCGGGAGGGCACAGGTCGCTCCCCGGGAGTGGGGCAAGGGGGTGCCGGCCACGGGCAGAGCCCAGGCTGGCGTCGGAGGGGCCGAGTGGGCACCAGGGCCCGCCCCGCTGCAGCACCCGCTGAAGCTCCTGCCCTTAGGCAGCAACTGCTCCTCCCGAGAGGATCAGCGCTTCTTGCGTGTGATTTGTGGAGGGGCAGACACGTCTTCTAGCAAAGCTTCACCATCTACACCTCAGCCTGAGCTTGCTTTTAAGTCCATCGAGTAAGTGACAATGACTTGGGGTTCATGATACTAATAGTTTTCCAGAAGACTTAGAGGCTGTACTTAAAACCTCATACCGAAAAAAACTTTTTCCTAGTTACCAGGTGTCTGTTAATGCGCCCCCTCTCCCGGTCGGTCACTCACTGACAAGTCAGAATCTCTCCGGACTGCTGCGGAACACTCGGTCCGGCCCCAAGCCAGGGTCTCTAACGCCCACCCCGTCCCCCGCCGCGACCTCTTCCTCCACTGCCCCTGCCTGGTTTACCACTTCTATTACTTTGTCTTGAAAACAACGCAACGATCATCTTTCTTGAAAACAAAAGTTCATTTTTTCTGACACTGAATGGAATATATACTTATAATAGAACATTTGAAAAATCTCCTAAGGAATAAAATAAAGGGTAGAAAATTATTCCTTGGATATTACTGTCCAGAGACAACTATTCCTCTGGTACAACTATTTCCTATTTTTTTGTTGTTCACTTACTTGTTTTGTATATAACTGTTGTGAGATCATTTTGAGGTTATCCCCTACATTTTTCACTTAACATTATGTCATAAACACTTTCCTTCTGTCACTATAATTTGTATAAAACAGCTTAAAATTTTCCAAATTAAAAATTACTTATCTTTATCATGGGAAAGAGAGAATTAAGAAAAGTATAACTGAGACATAAAATGCATATAATGCCATAATCTAGAGATGAACTGCTCTTCACAAAATGGATTTTTTCTTTAACGTGTGTATAAGTATATTTTTATATCCTAGAGGTTGCAGCCCTCATCTTTCCTTAACCTTCTCTCATGGACATTTTTCCAGGCCAAGAAATATTCCTCCACACAATAGTAATTGATTTAACACATTTTTATCGAGTACCTGTGATCTTGCCAGATACTATGGCAGTTCCAGAACAACAGAAATAATGACACCTGCCCTTCATAGGTTCCATTTTATTCAGCCATTTCCGGTGGATGATTATACATGTCTGTACTCTCATTAATTCAACTCACTCCAGAAAGGTTGGCCATCATCAAAAAGTCAAGCGGAGGGCGGGGGATATAACTCAGCGGCACAAGCGCCTGCCTGGCAAGCACAAGGTCCTGAGTTTGATTCCTGGTGCCAAAAAAAAAACCAAAAACCAAAAAATCCAAAAAGTCAAGTAGTGCTAGGAAAACTGGTTGTCCATGTGCAGAAGACTGAAAATGCACCCTTCTCTCTCTCCACATACTAAATTAAAATAAAAATGGATCCAAAATCTAAACATTAAAACAGAAACATTAAACTTACTGGAATACAGAATAGGTAAAACCTTTGAAGACATATGTGTAGGAAAATGTTTCCCAATCAGAACCTCAACTGCACAAGAAATAACAGCAAGAATCAACACATGGAAATATATCAGACCAAAAAGCTTAGTATAGCAAAAGAATCAATCAGTAGAGTGAAGACACAATCTACAGAATGGGAAATAAATTTTCGCAAGCTACTTCTCAGAGGACTAATAGCTAGAATATACAAAGAACTCAAAAAAAACAAAAAAACAAAAAAACAACTAAGCCACCTAAAAGTAAAGATACAGTGAAGAAATGGGCAAGAGAAATGAACAGACACTTTACCAGGAAGAATTACCAATGATCAACAAATATATGACAAAATGCTCAACATCTCAGGCTATCGGAGAAATGCAAATTAAAATTCCATCTTATTCCAGAAAGAATGGCAATCATTAAGCAATCAAACAATAACAAACCCCGGCGAGGCTGTGGTGAAAAAGGAACGCTCCTACTTGGTGGTGGGAATATAAACTAGTACAACCATCATGGAAATCAGTATGGAGATTTCTCAAAGAACTGAAATTAGAAATTCCACATACCCAGCTATCCTGCTACGTATCTTTCCCAAAGAGCCAAAGTCATACTA